GAAACTGATATTCATAATGTGGTAAAACTTCCGTCAATCTTTTCCACATCTTGGTCCCACTGGCCTTTGCTAATTCCGCGAAGAAGATTCAGAATGTATCCATTTTTTACAGCATCAGATGCACGAATAAATATACAAAATTCTGAGTAGTCCAAGACATCTTCAAATGGTAGCTCAATATCATCGCTTATAATCACAGGCACGCAATGGCTCACGATAGCATCAAAGAGGCGATTGGAAGATGGGGTATCACCAGCAATGTGCAGGCAGAATTTGGCTGAGCCCATCCCTCTGCTTGCTTGGCTAACCCCCTTCCCCTGCACAGTTCCAAATGCAAAGTGCACATCTTTCTCATCTTTGAGAAGGTAATATAGTTCTTGGCGAATGATCCCTCCCTGCAGAAAAGTCAGATTTTAAATTAGATTGGTATTGAGTCTTTATAAAGAATAGCAATTACAAAGATATTCAGTAGACAGTAAAACCAAGGAATGGAAGCACCTGCATAAATGTTGATTTAATTGAAGAAGTGACAACCGTGAGAGCAATGCAAACCATACATAAAGAACCTGCAGCTCTCATTTATAATATAGGTGATGAAATTTGGAATATTTACTTTATTTCCAATTGTTTTACTTCAAATAGGCTAAAGATTTCCACTTACAAGATTATTTAAATTTTCTTAATTAGTTTTTGGGTATAATCAATCCCAAAATCAAATCAAATTGTGCTTAAAAGTCATGTGAAAAGAAAAAAAAAATACCTCTTTCCTTGTTTTAGTAGAAACGATAATATTATCTACACAGATACAGATTATCAATCCAAACACAAACTATTAATTGAAACCTGGGAATTTACTCACTTTACCACCGATCTAACTCTGATTCTAAATAAAAAACTGATGTTGTTTGTTTCATATAATCTACAAAATATTATAATATAGAATTATTTCAAAAAAAAAAAAAAATTATAATATAGAAGATTCCATCAAAATTACTTGGTCTAAGATACTCATTCAAACTGCCAAGAAATTTGTTTTTTTTTTTTAATTTCGAATATAGGTCTAGCCATCCAGTTTTGTGGAATGAAAGCTCTATGATAATCAGCCAGAATCACACATGAGGAACAAAACATGTTTACCAGAATCACACATAAGGAACAAAACATGTTTACTCCATTCTCAACTTTACAAATGGATTATTGCTCTTGTTCTCTATTGAATTATTATCTGGTGATATCGACAGCTAACATTATAGTAAGATAAGAAATGCAACTGGAATTTCCAATTATATATGTCAACCAAATCCGGCAGTCAGGAAATGCTATATTACATTATCTGAGTTTAAAGAAAAAAGATTTCACTGAAAGAGGAATATATCTTATGGCAGTATCAAAATGCTGGCATGCTGAGAGTTCTAAATAAAGGTATAGATTTGGATCAAGAAATCACAAGCATGAACAGTTTAACAATTCAGGAAAAAAGGAAACGTGATGAGAAACTTACATCTTTCCTATATATTGCTCCTTGGAAATATGCTAAAATAGGACGCTTGTGGAAAGGGGCTGATTGACCAGCTGAAATGGTCTTTACAATATGCTTGTAAGGAGCAATTATATCCTTCTGCAAATTTGCAATTTCAGTAGGATATCTTCCAAAATCTGCTAGCACAAACATTGCAGAGCCTAATTTCTTTCTTGCTTGCAACATGCTATTTGGATGATGAGCTACAATTAAATGGTCTTTTCCCCCCAACCGCTTCCATTCATCCTGACTCATCAGAAATTCCACCAATTTATTCTGCAAATAACTATCAAGAGAAATGTTCTGGTCTCGATGAAGCTTAGAATGTCGGTTGTAACTCACAGAAGAGAAGAAGGGTACAAAGACAACATTTGCTTGACTTGAATTCTTCACTCTAATTATGCTGCATGGTCTGGCTGTACTTATGTTGGAAGCAAGAAGATCCATGGTAAGCCAGTATTCCATACTGTGCTGTAAATTCAAGCCACCCGGGTATGGTGGGATGTCATCTGGGTTATTGACATTTGGCCAAGTCTGGTTTGGCTTTCCCTTCCATCCCAGTAACCCAAAGTGAAAATCTGGGGGCAAGTCATACATAAAAACCTTGAGTGGAGCATAGGCGTTGTTCATATTTTGTCCAGTAGAAGGCATATATTTTGCAGAACAGGAATTCCCACAATTCAATCCTCCACTAATTAATGGTGCTTTAGCATTAGCTAGTGAAATGTCAGAAGAGAATAAAGGAAGCCTAATTTGTTCCCTATTTAGGCAGACTGATGAATTGTTAAGAAGAATTAGCTTGAAAACTGATTTTGGTATCAGAGAAGAATTTGTAAATCCAAGAAGGAAAACGGAAGAGAGGATCAAAATGAACATGGAAATCATTATTATACAAAAAAGAAATCTTGAAGGAGGCAAATTCTTCTCCGACATTGTTGGTAACAAGGATAAAAATAATTTTAAGAAGAAACTCACTCTAATCGTTGGCTAAAAAGTCCTAAGCTCCTGATCCATCCATTCAGTGGGGTTTCACTTCTAGTCTACCAACCATAACAAAAATGGAACTCTGGTTTTAAAACCCTAAATAATGTTGAAAAAGACCTGGGATGTCTTTTTTTCTCTGTAACTTTTCCGTTCAAAAATCTCAGCTATCTATAACTATCAACATCCATCAATTTGAGAAGCAAATTTCCACAGATTATAATCCTCGGCTCCTCTCAAAAGCACACTAGATTCTCTTCTTGTATTCATCGACAATACACGTGATCAATCTGCAAACTGAATTAAAAATAAAATTCAAACAATAAACTATTTGAAAAAAAAAAACAAGAAACAAACAAATAAATCCAAAATAATTACCAATCAGTAAGCAAAAACAAAAGAGAGAGAAGAGATTAGAGAAGATAGTATGAGAGACGAAACTTATGAAAAAAAAAAGGAAAAAAAAAAAAGAGAAAGTTTGTTTACACGACAACTCGCAAAGTAAAAATTACCTGAAGAGCTTGGGGTTTGAAGTTCACCCATGGCGTAGTCATCGTTTTCCAGACTGTATAGCATTAAGTGCGGTTGACAAAAACCAGTCGTGAAGGAATAATCATGACTTGAAGTAGATTATCTCTGAATTATGATTTCCAGTGGATTTGTAAATTGCAATTTATAATTTATAATTAAAATTAGGGATGAGAAAATAGTTTCGAAAACACAAAAGGCTCTTATATTTTTATTTAATTTTAACTAATTAATTAAGTTTAATTTTATTTTAAATAAATTGATTAATACTATTAAATTATACTCTAAAATAATTTTTTAGCACATTGTAATATATAATAGAAATCAATAATTAAAATTCACTCTCCAACATTATTTACTTTTTATTTTTTAGTTAATTAAAAAATAATAATTAATTAAAATATTTTAATTCTAAATTATCTAAAATTTTTAATTAAAGACTTAAACATTCTATTCAAAATTATAAAAAAATAAAATAAAAGATCTTAAAATTAAATATTTTAATAACAAAATCAATAGTTTAACTCACGTTTCGTCACCTTCAACTACTTCATTAGGTAAAATTTAATTATTTTTTCGTGTGGTTGGTTGGATCATCCTAATTTCAAGTTAAAAACATGCCTCGCGCATTTTAATAATTGATTCTTCACTTAAATAATTTGATGTGAGATTAAATGTAATTAAAAGTTTAAATTTACTTTAAAATTTATGTATTAACAAAATTTTTAAACATTTTAATGTCATGTGGATAAATTTAATTGTCAACGATTAAATTTAATATATATATATATAATATTTGTAAATAGATAAATATCATTAGGTATTATTATTTATACAAAATTAGAATTTGTTTTATGTTGAACAAAATGTGATAATATGTTAATTTGACGGATGACATAAATATATGAATTTTGGAGTTAGCATGAGAAATTTAATTCAACCTACATAAACAATTCGAAAAAAAAAAATACTAACAAAAAGATAAATAAATAAAGATCAAAGATCATGAGTTGATTTAGATCAAAGTCTGCTTTGATTTGATTCAGACTGTTACTATGTGTTTGACAGTTTAGATTTAAGATATTTATATAAAAAGAGAATCGTTGTTATGATTTCTTAACTGATCATACTTGTTCGGACTCTTCTGGCTTCTACTTCCATTGCTAACTTAATCGGAGTGTTTTGTCTTAAAATATATAACATCTAGGCCTTGTTTTATATCTTTTTATTTTTTTAATAAAAAAAATAAAGACTAAAGAGTAAAATTATTTTAGATTTGTCTATCTTCTGTGTATAAAAGTAAGGATTCAAGATTTCGAGACCTCAAGAATATTTTCTTTAAAATCTGTTTAAAAATGCCTTTAAAAATAATTGATACTAAAGTGAAATATTCTTAAAAATCCAAAAATTTGTCTAAACAAAATTTCCATTATTTAAAGCCCAACAATTAAAGGCCCAAGGGA